TCACCACACGCCCCACACTTAGCACACTCGCCACGCTCACCAAGCACACCACACTCACCACGCTCACCACACTCACCAAGCTCCCCACACTCACCACGCTCACCACACTCACCACACGAACCCACGCACGCGCGCGCGCGCGAAAACGCCAGGACCCCGTTTAGCCTCCGAGGCGGCAGGGGCAAGCGCCCGTTATGGGGGGCGGGGGGGCAAGCGCCCGTTATGGGGGGCGGGGGGGCAAGCGCCCGTTATGGGGGGCGGGGGGGCAAGCGCCCGTTATGGGGGGCGGGGGGGCAAGCGCCCGTTATGGGGGGCGGGGGGGGCAAGCGCCCGTTATGGGGGGCGGGGGGGCAAGCGCCCGTTATGGGGGGCGGGGGGGCAAGCGCCCGTTATGGGGGGCGGGGGGGCAAGCGCCCGTTATGGGGGGCGGGGGGGCAAGCGCCCGTTATGGGGGCGGGGGGGCAAGCGCCCGTTATGGGGGGCGGGGGGGCAAGCGCCCGTTATGGGGGGGGGGGGGGGCACGCGGCGCGGTTTGGTGTGGCCGCTGTCCACGCCTGGGCGTCTTCGTCTCCAAAGTTCCGATCGTTACACAAACATACGGCACGGACTCATTTGGGGCCGAGTCGACTGAGGGGAGGTCGAGGACGGGTTCAGAGAGCACGTGTCTCCTGTTCCCTCATCCCAGGTGAGATCGTCAGTTCCCACCATCCCGAGACTCGATGTGATGATCACCACGTGGAGTGGTTTCACTGAGGCCCAGCGGCACCAATTTTATCTTTCCACGTGGGCCGTGATGTTCGACTCCGCGGAACCCAGAGGTGTGGACTCGAGTCATGTGACTTGGACTCGAGTCAGACTCGAGTCATGAATTTGATGACTTCAGACTCGACTTGGACTTGCATAACAATGACTTTGTCCCACCTCTGAGGTGTGGACTCGAGTCATGTGACTTGGACTCGAGTCAGACTCGAGTCATGAATTTGATGACTTCAGACTCGACTTGGACTTGCATAACAATGCCTTTGTCCCACCTCTGGCGGAACCAGTACCGTTTAAACGCCATAGGAATGTGGAATTTCCACCACTGGCTCTGCAGGGCTGTGAACGGAACACGAGCACCGCCTCGATGATCATTTGAGCAGCAGAAGGGCGCTCAGATTACATACAGTACTATGTACTGTATGTTGTACTGGGTTAGGTGTCGTGAGCGCGGTGAGTGGTGGTGAGCGTGTATTTTCCCGCCTGCGCGCCGCTCCGCCACTAATTAGGCGAGGCCAATACGTCGCTAATTGCATCCCCGCTGCTCGTCTTGTAAATGGAGGGGGCGTGGCGACGGCCGGGCCAGCCTCGCAGAGCGCGACACCAACTCACCCACCCAGCCACCCAGCCACCCAGCCAGCCAGCCACCCAGCCGGCCAGCCACCCACCCGCCCACCCACCCAGCCACCCGCCCACCCAGCCACCCACCCAGCTACCCACCCAGCTACCCACCCAGCCACCCACCCACCCAGCCACCCACCCAGCCAGCCACCCACCCGCCCACCCACCCAGCCAGCCACCAACTCACCCACCCGCCCAGCCGCCCGCCCACCCAGCCACCCGCCCACCCAGCCACCCACCCAGCCACCCACCCAGCCAGCCAGCCACCCACCCACCCAGCCACCCAGACACCCGCCCACCCACCCAGCCGCCCGCCCACCCAGCCACCCACCCAAGCCACCCACCCAGCCGCCCACCCACCCACCCAACCACCCACCCAGCCGCCCGCCCACCCAGCCACCCACCCAGCCACCTAGCCACCCACCCAGCCACCCACCCACCCACCCAGCCACCCACCCACCCACCCAGCCACCCACCCAGCCACCCACACAGCCAGCCAGCCACCCACCCAGCCACCCACCCACCCACCCGCCCACCCAGCCACCCACCCACCCAGCCACCCAGCCACCCACCCAGCCACCCACCCACCCAGCCGCCCAGCCACCCACCCAGCCAGCCAGCCATCCACCCAGCCAGCAACCCACCCACCCAGCCGCCCACCCACCCACCCAGCCAGCAACCCACCCACCCAGCCAGCAACCCACCCACCCAGCCGCCCGCCCACCCACCCACCCAGCCACCCACCCACCCGCCCAGCCAGCCACCCACCCGCCCAGCCACCCATCCAACCACCCACCCACCAAGCCGCCCGCCCACCCACCCACCCAGCCACCCACCCACCCGCCCAGCCACCCACCCACCCGCCCAGCCACCCACCCACCCGCCCTGCCACCCACCCACCCGCCCAGCCACCCAGCCACCCACCCACCCACCCACCGAGCCACCCGCCCATCCAGCCGCTCTCCCTCCAACTCGCACTCCCACTGCCTCAGCTCGCCCTCTCCCACTGCCTCAGCTCGCTCTCTCCCACTGCCTCAGCTCGCCCTCTCTCTCTCTCAGTCGATCTGCCTCACTCACCCTCGCACCAAATCTCTCTCTCTCATTCATGCTTTCTCTATTGCCCCCTCTCTCATTCAGGGCACCTCGCACTCTTTCTATGTCACACTCTCACCAGCTCACATCCACCTCTCTGTCTCTCTCATTCACCCTCTCGTTCAGTATCAATGATGAGGTTTGCACGGCCTGTAAACTTTGACCTCTGTTAACACAACCCTCAGCACAAACGTTGACCTTTGCTAATTAATCTCTTGGTCTAGAAACCTATCAACTTTATTGCCATCCGTGCAATTTGTTGAAATTAGCGGGAATATTTTTTTTATACGCGCGTGTGTGCCCGTGTAAATTGAAGACAAGTCCTGGTTACGTGTGGGGGACACGTGGAGAGTTTGGGAGGGTCTCCGACTGGCGTATCACGGACATTTCTTATCTCCATGCAACCACTGAAACCTAAACACGTAAAAATCGGTGTCCTTTCAATGAGCATCGAGGCAGTTGTCGTCTATCGTTTCCAGTCCTGTGGAACCAATGACGGAAATTCCACATTCTTACGACAGAGTCAAGTTGATTCATGAGACAACTGCTGTTGACTTTCCCCACAAAGTTGACCCTCGTGAAGAAATAATGGGCCGAATCAAACCCCCCACCCAGGATTTGAACTCACAACCTTTTAGGAAGCCACTGGAGCTTTGATGCACTTCTAAACTAAAATTGAAAACTCATTTGTCTAGAACTGCTTTTCGTGTTAGTTTGTTGTCCTTCCCCCGCACATCCAGTACTCACTTCCCACGGCCGTGAGCCGCCGGCTGTGCCACCACCCAGCCACCCAGCCACCCAGCCACCCACCCAGCCACCACCCAGCCACCCACCCAGCCACCCACCCAGCCACCCACCCAGCCACCACCCAGCCACCCACCCAGCCACCCACCCAGCCACCCACCCAGCCACCCACCCAGCCACCACCCAGCCACCCACCCACCCACACAGCCACCCACCCAGCCACCACCCAGCCACCCTGCGTCCAGCCCTCGGCAGAAGCGGAACGAGAACAGCCGTGCCGTGGCCACATCAACTCTGCCCTTGGACGATTGTGAACCTAGCGACGGGATGGCCGTGTGAGCAGTGAGGTCTCGGACACAAGGCAAGACCAGCGAGTCTTCGCACCAGACTGGAACACGGGTCGTGAGAGTAGGGGAAGGAGGGGGCGAGAGAGAGTGGTTGGTATAGGGAGTCAGAACCGCAAGGCGCGTGCACTGCGGAGTTCATGTTTCGGATGGCGCGAGAGAGACCATGAGAGAGAGAGGGGGGAGAGGCAAGGAGGGAGAGGAGTGACTGAGCAGGGTGCGATCACAATTGACCCTCCGACTCGCCCCCGCAGCCAGTGCCAACCGCGCCCCGCCCCCCACATCCGAAATTCGATTTCCCGGCGCGGTAGTTTCACTTCAGCAGCATAGACGTGTACAGTATCGATGTGTACAATGCGGTGAATCTGCAAGTCCCGTGTGGTGGTGGAGTCAAGTGTGGGTATGCCCACCACCGACACGACTGGTACGTGCGGAGGAGTAGAACAGAGGCTCTCTAGAGCTGCCTCTAGCGGCGGGCCAGGTCCCTCCAGGAGTGACGCGAGCGGGTAATTCCAGGGCTGCATCCTCACCTGTGTATCATCATCATTATCATTATACACCGCGAGGCCTGCCGCCATGCGGTTTGTACAGTCGTGGATGCCAATCTGTGCATTCATTACTGACATTCTACTGAAATTGTTACAGAGTTGCTGACTTTGGGAACTGGTTATTGAATTCTGCAATCGGTTACTGGTTATTGTTGAACAGCCCGTGAACGCAGCTAACGATGTGTTCATGCGCAAACAGCTAGAGGGCAGCGAGAGCGCAAGGGACAATGGTTAAAGGTGGTGGCAGGAGAGCCTCTGATGTAGGCCGGTAGAGCAGAGGCCGGAGGCCGAGTTAGCCGTGGCATCACCCCTGGCCACCCGCCGCTCTGTTTGTCATCTTCCGGCACAGCGTGGCACCGTTTAGGGTTTCGAGGATTCGGGAATTTTGAGGACATATTTTAAAACAGAGATCAGCAGGAATCCCGCATGGAATATGCATGCGGCTGTAATGCGCCCCTGAATACTTAACGGCAGAAAAACAGAGATCAAGAAAAAACCCAGGGAGAGCGACTGAGAGAGAGAGGCACACAGCCAGATGAGCAGGAGAGAAGACGCGAAACAGCGCCGGAGAAGAGGAGAGCGTGACGGGTGGAATCCGGCAGAGTTGGAGGAGCCGGGGGAGAGCGGCAGTGGGAGAGCGACAATGGGAGAGTGGGAGAGAGCGAGTGGGAGAGTGGGAGAGAGCGAGTGGGAGAGTGGGAGAGAGCGAGTGGGAGAGTGGAGAGAGCGAGTGGGAGAGTGGGAGAGAGCGAGTGGGAGAGTGGGAGAGAGCGAGTGGGAGAGTGGGAGAGAGCGAGTGGGAGAGTGGGAGAGAGCGAGTGGGAGAGTGGGAGAGAGCGAGTGGGAGAGTGGGAGAGAGCGAGTGGGAGAGTGGGAGAGTGCGAGTGGGAGAGCGGCAGTGGCGGCGGCTGCTGCTGCTGAGAGCGAGGACGGAGTGGCCACGCACATCCTCTAGGTGGGGTCCTGGCGCCACGAGCGCGTGCCACAAACACACTCAGGGGTCTCGCCTCAAGCTGCTTAACTAAAGTACTTAACTAAAACGACTTAACTAAAGCCAGTTAACTAAACCACTAAACTAAAATAACTTACGATTCAAATTGGTTTCCTTGGTTTAGTTTGTGGAACACGTGTGTCGTAAACCCTCCTCCACTGACAGTAAATGAATGAGAGTGTCACGTGAATCGACCGCGCCAAACGTACGACTGCTGCTTCAGCAGCAGCAGCAGCACCAGCGGCGTCGTCTTTGTTGTTGTTGTTGTTCTTGTTGTTGTTGTTGGGGATCAATCTCGCGACATCCTCGTGGAGATGACGCCCAGCGCCATCACGCTGCCACGCACAGGAGCTGAGCTCTCGAGTGAAGCGCTTTCTGATCCTAAAGTATATGCCACGATGTGATCGGCATTGTCATGCACGTGATCTAATTTAACACTTACAGTTGATTGCATTACTATTTGAGTGGCTGTCATTGCCATGTTATGTTAGTGTAAAAAGGTGGACCTATTTAGCGATTTGTGAAAATAGGCTATCCTTAATTATATTGATGCGTACATCATTGTCTTGATAATGAAGCTGCAGCATTCTTCCAGATCTGGGTGAGATTCTAGGATGGTGACAGCAGCAGGAGCATTAGCAAAAGCGCGATTCTATTTTATTTTATTTCGGATTTACATAGCGCCCTTTCCAGAAGGGATGGGATATGCACTTGAAGTGGCGGTGAGGAACATTGTTTCCATCTTGGTTCATGGGCAAGGTTGTCGATGCCAAGAAAACATCTAAACGCACCAGTAGCGTGCACGTCTGCGGTGCTGCACATGTCTCTGTGGGTGATACTTGGCGCTTCGTGACGAGCACAGGGCAGCACTCGCGCATCCCTGCTACGTCCAACACCCGCGCCGCGTCCCAGTGGCCACGACATTTCCTGGCCGTGCCACAACCCAACGCCTGCGCCATGGCCCGACGCGAACCCCACGTCCCATCGTCCCCACGTCCCATCGTCCCCACGTCCCCACGTCCCATCGTCCCCATGTCCCCACGTCCCATCGTCCCCACGTCCCCACGTCCCATCGTCCCCACGTCCCCACGTCCCCACGTCCCCACGTCCCCACGTCCCATCGTCCCCACGTCCCCACGTCCCATCCTCCCCCCGTCCCATCGTCCCCATGTCCCCACGTCCCATCGTCCCCACGTCCCCACGTCCCATCCTCCCCCCGTCCCATCGTCCCCACGTCCCCACGTCCCCACGTCCCCACGTCCCATCCTCCCCACGTCCCATCGTCCCCACGTCCCCACGTCCCATCCTCCCCACGTCCCATCGTCCCCACGTCCCCACGTCCCCACGTCCCATCCTCCCCCCGTCCCATCGTCCCCACGTCCCCACGTCCCCACGTCCCCACGTCCCCACGTCCCATCCTCCCCACGTCCCATCGTCCCCACGTCCCATCGTCCCATTGTCCCATCGACCCACGTCCCCACGTCCCCACGTCCCATCCTCCCCACGTCCCATCGTCCCATTGTCCCATCGTCCCATCGTCCCATCGTCCCCACGTCCCCACGTCCCCACCTCCCATCGCCCCATCGTCCCCACGTCCCATTGTCCCATCGTCCCCACGTCCCCACGTCCCCGCGTCCCATTGTCCCATCGTCCCCACGTCCCATCGTCCCATCGCCCCCACGTCCCCACGTCCCAGCGTCCCATTGTCCCATCGTCCCCCCGTCCCATCGTTCCATCGTCCACCCGTCCCCACGTCCCATCGTTCCATCGTCCCCCCGTCCCCACGTCCCCACGTCCCATCGTCCCCACGTCCCCACGTCCCATCGTCCCCACGTCCCATCGTCCCCACGTCCCATCGTCCCCACGTCCCATCGTCCCCACGTCCCATCGTCCCCACGTCCCATCGTCCCCACGTCCCATCGTCCCCACGTCCCATCGTCCCCCCGTCCCCACGTCCCCCCGTCCCCACGTCCCATCGTCCCCACGTCCCATCGTCCCCACGTCCCATCGTCCCCACGTCCCATCGTCCCCACGTCCCATCGTCCCCACGTCCCATCGTCCCCACGTCCCCCCGTCCCCACGTCCCATCGTCCCCACGTCCCATCCTCCCCACGTCCCATCACCACGTCCCATCGTCCCCCACGTCCCATCGTCCCCACGTCCCATCGTCCCCACGTCCCATTGTCCCCACGTCCCATCGTCCCCACGTCATGCACGTGATCTAATTTAACACTTACAGTTGATTGCATTACTATTTGAGTGGCTGTCATTGCCATGTTATGTTAGTGTAAAAAGGTGGACCTATTTAGCGATTTGTGAAAATAGGCTATCCTTAATTATATTGATGCGTACATCATTGTCTTGATAATGAAGCTGCAGCATTCTTCCAGATCTGGGTGAGATTCTAGGATGGTGACAGCAGCAGGAGCATTAGCAAAAGCGCGATTCTATTTTATTTTATTTCGGATTTACATAGCGCCCTTTCCAGAAGGGATGGGATATGCACTTGAAGTGGCGGTGAGGAACATTGTTTCCATCTTGGTTCATGGGCAAGGTTGTCGATGCCAAGAAAACATCTAAACGCACCAGTAGCGTGCACGTCTGCGGTGCTGCACATGTCTCTGTGGGTGATACTTGGCGCTTCGTGACGAGCACAGGGCAGCACTCGCGCGTCCCTGCTACGTCCAACACCCGCGCCGCGTCCCAGTGGCCACGACATTTCCTGGCCGTGCCACAACCCAACGCCTGCGCCATGGCCCGACGCGAACCCCACGTCCCATCGTCCCCACGTCCCATCGTCCCCACGTCCCCACGTCCCATCGTCCCCATGTCCCCACGTCCCATCCTCCCCCCGTCCCCACGTCCCATCCTCCCCCCGTCCCATCGTCCCCACGTCCCCACGTCCCCACGTCCCCACGTCCCCACGTCCCATCCTCCCCACGTCCCATCGTCCCCACGTCCCATCGTCCCATTGTCCCATCGACCCACGTCCCCACGTCCCCACGTCCCATCCTCCCCACGTCCCATCGTCCCATCGTCCCCACGTCCCCCCGTCCCATCTTCCCCCCGTCCCATCGTCCCCATGTCCCCACGTCCCCTCGTCCCCGCGTCCCCACGTCCCATCCTCCCCCCGTCCCATCGTCCCCACGTCCCCACGTCCCCACGTCCCCACGTCCCCACGTCCCCACGTCCCATCCTCCCCACGTCCCATCGTCCCCACGTCCCATCGTCCCATTGTCCCATCGACCCACGTCCCCACGTCCCCACGTCCCATCCTCCCCAAGTCCCATCGTCCCATTGTCCCATCGTCCCATCGTCCCCACGTCCCCACGTCCCCACCTCCCATCGCCCCATCGTCCCCACGTCCCATTGTCCCATCGTCCCCACGTCCCCACGTCCCCGCGTCCCATTGTCCCATCGTCCCCACGTCCCCACGTCCCAGCGTCCCATTGTCCCATCGTCCCCCCGTCCCATCGTTCCATCGTCCACCCGTCCCCACGTCCCCACGTCCCATCGTTCCATCGTCCCCCCGTCCCCACGTCCCCACGTCCCATCGTCCCCACGTCCCCACGTCCCATCGTCCCCACGTCCCATCGTCCCCACGTCCCATCGTCCCCACGTCCCATCGTCCCCCCGTCCCCACGTCCCCACGTCCCCACGTCCCATCGTCCCCACGTCCCATCGTCCCCACGTCCCATCGTCCCCACGTCCCATCGTCCCCACGTCCCATCGTCCCCCCGTCCGATTGTCCTATCGTCCCATCGTCCCCACGTCCCCACGTCCCCACGTCCCATCGTCCCATTGTCCCATTGTCCCATCGTCCCCACGTCCCATCATCCCATCGTCCCCACGTCCCCGCGTCCCATTATCCCATCGTCCCATCGTCCCCCCGTCCCATCGTCCCATTGTCCCCACGTCCCATCGTCCCCCCGTCCCCACGTCCCATCGTCCCTACGTCCCCACGTCCCCACGTCCCATAGTCCCACGTCCCATCGTTCCATCGTCCACCCGTCCCCACGTCCCATCGTCCCATTGTCCCATCGTCCCCCCGTCCCCACGTCCCATTGTCCCATTGTCCCATCGTCCCCACGTCCCATCGTCCCATCGTCCCATTGTCCCATCGTCCCCGCGTCCCATCGTCCCCACGTCCCCGCGTCCCATTGTCCCCACGTCCCATCGTCCCCCCGTCCCCACGTCCCCGCGTCCCATTGTCCCCACGTCCCATCGTCCCCCCGTCCCCACGTCCCATCGTTCCATCGTCCCCACGTCCCCACGTGCCATCGTCCCCACGTCCCATCGTCCCCACGTCCCATCGTCCCATTGTCCCATTGTCCCCACGTCCCATCGTCCCCCCGTCCCCACGTCCCCACGTCCCATCGTCCCCCCGTCCCCACGTCCCATCGTCCCCACGTCCCATCGTCCCCACGTCCCATCGTCCCATTGTCCCATTGTCCCCACGTCCCATCGTCCCCACGTCCCATCGTCCCCACGTCCCCACGTCCCCACGTCCCATCGTCCCCACGTCCCATCGTCCCCCCGTCCCCACGTCCCATCGTCCCATTGTCCCATTGTCCCCACGTCCCATCGTCCCCACGTCCCCGCGTCCCATTGTCCCATCGTCCCATTGTCCCCACGTCCCCACGTCCCATCGTCCCCCCGTCCCCACGTCCCATTGTCCCCACGTCCCATCGTCCCCCCCGTCCCCACGTCCCATTGTCCCCACGTCCCATCGTCCCCACGTCCCCACGTCCCATCGTCCCCACGTCCCATCGTCCCCCCGTCCCCACGTCCCATTGTCCCCACGTCCCATCGTCCCCACGTCCCCACGTCCCATCGTCCCCACGTCCCATCGTCCCCCCGTCCCCACGTCCCATTGTCCCCACGTCCCATCGTCCCCACGTCCCCACGTCCCATCGTCCCCACGTCCCATCGTCCCCCCGTCCCCACGTCCCCACGTCCCCACGTCCCATCGTCCCCACGTCCCATCGTCCCCACGTCCCATCGTCCCCACGTCCCATCGTCCCCACGTCCCATCGTCCCCCCGTCCGATTGTCCTATCGTCCCATCGTCCCCACGTCCCCACGTCCCCACGTCCCATCGTCCCCTTGTCCCATTGTCCCATCGTCCCCACGTCCCATCATCCCATCGTCCCCACGTCCCCGCGTCCCATTATCCCATCGTCCCATCGTCCCCCCGTCCCATCGTCCCATTGTCCCCACGTCCCATCGTCCCCCCGTCCCCACGTCCCATCGTCCCTACGTCCCCACGTCCCCACGTCCCATAGTCCCACGTCCCATCGTTCCATCGTCCACCCGTCCCCACGTCCCATCGTCCCATTGTCCCATCGTCCCCCCGTCCCCACGTCCCATTGTCCCATTGTCCCATCGTCCCCACGTCCCATCGTCCCATCGTCCCATTGTCCCATCGTCCCCGCGTCCCATCGTCCCCACGTCCCCGCGTCCCATTGTCCCCACGTCCCATCGTCCCCCCGTCCCCACGTCCCCGCGTCCCATTGTCCCCACGTCCCATCGCCCCCCCGTCCCCACGTCCCATCGTTCCATCGTCCCCACGTCCCCACGTGCCATCGTCCCCACGTCCCATCGTCCCCACGTCCCATCGTCCCATTGTCCCATTGTCCCCACGTCCCATCGTCCCATCGTCCCCCGTCCCCACGTCCCCTCGTCCCATCGTCCCCCCGTCCCCACGTCCCATCGTCCCCACGTCCCATCGTCCCCACGTCCCATCGTCCCATTGTCCCATTGTCCCCACGTCCCATCGTCCCCACGTCCCATCGTCCCCACGTCCCCACGTCCCCACGTCCCATCGTCCCCACGTCCCATCGTCCCCCCGTCCCCACGTCCCATCGTCCCATTGTCCCATTGTCCCCACGTCCCATCGTCCCCACGTCCCCGCGTCCCATTGTCCCATCGTCCCATTGTCCCCACGTCCCCACGTCCCATCGTCCCCCCGTCCCCACGTCCCATTGTCCCCACGTCCCATCGTCCCCCCGTCCCCACGTCCCATTGTCCCCACGTCCCATCGTCCCCACGTCCCCGCGTCCCATTGTCCCATCGTCCCATTGTCCCCACGTCCCCACGTCCCATCGTCCCCACGTCCCATTGTCCCCACGTCCCATCGTCCCCACGTCCCCGCGGCCCATTGTCCCATCGTCCCCTTGTCCCCCCGTCCCCACGTCCCATCGTCCCCCCGTCCCCACGTCCCATTGTCCCCACGTCCCATCGTCCCCCCGTCCCCACGTCCCATTGTCCCCACGTCCCATCGTCCCCACGTCCCCGCGTCCCATTGTCCCATCGTCCCATTGTCCCCACGTCCCCACGTCCCATCGTCCCCACGTCCCATTGTCCCCACGTCCCATCGTCCCCATGTCCCCGCGTCCCATTGTCCCATCGTCCCATTGTCCCCACGTCCCATCGTCCCCCCGTCCCCACGTCCCATTGTCCCCACGTCCCATCGTCTCCCCGTCCCCACGTCCCATTGTCCCCACGTCCCATCGTCCCCACGTCCCCGCGTCCCATTGTCCCATCGTCCCATTGTCCCCACGTCCCCACGTCCCATCGTCCCCCCGTCCCCACGTCCCATTGTCCCCACGTCCCATCGTCCCCATGTCCCATCGTCCCATTGTCCCACGCACCGGCCGTCGTCCACCTGGATGTCTATGAATGGACGAAGCGTCGCAAAACACAAATGGCTTTGGCTGCCACAGGCCCAGAGGCGCGGCGGTGGCGGTGGTGGCATCAACCGATGGCTGTGGGCACGAAGACGCATGCAACGCGAACACCACGCGTTCATGGTGAACACGGCGCGTTTATCGTTCATGGTGAACACGACGCGTTCATCGTTCATGGTGAACACCACGCGTTCATGGTGAACACGGCGCGTTCATCGTTCATGGTGAACACGACGTGTTCATCGTTCAACGCGAACACCACGCGTTCATGGTGAACACGGCGCGTTCATCGTTCAACACGAACACCACGCGTTCATGGTGAACACGGCGCGTTCATCGTTCATGGTGAACACTACGCGTTCATGGTGAACACGGCGCGTTCATCGTTCATGGTGGACACGACGCGTTCATCGTTCAACGCGAACACCACGCGTTCATGGTGAACACGGCGCGTTCATCGTTCAACACGAACACCACGCGTTCATGGTGAACACGGCGCGTTCATCGTTCATGGTGAACACCACGCGTTCATGGTGAACACGGCGCGTTCATCGTTCATGGTGGACACGACGCGTTCATCGTTCAACGCGAACACCACGCGTCTAACGTCCATTGTGACCATATGGTGAACTCCGTAGACCGGCGGACAGGAATCAGACGCGGGGAGAGCGGCGAGACGTCCAGATCAGAGGCGACAAAGAGGAGCGGAGACGACTTGTGAGAGACCTCGGAGACGAAGGACACGGCGAGCGTGGGGGGGGGGGGGCGTGAGGACGGCGAGCGGGACAGCGGATCGAACGAATCCAGCGAGAGGCGCGGTGGCAGCTTCGGGGCGGCCAAAGGTGAACGCGCAAAAGCTGCGACGGCAAAAGCTGCGAAGCGCGACGCGGTGAGCGGATTAAACAAATCAAACGGCGGCGTTGAGACGCGCGGGTTAAGCGGGGAAGCGTGGCTCGTGCTCGCCGCTGTAATCACACCGCCGAGCAGCGTGGAGGCTCAGGGCTCGGGGGCGCAGGAGACCGCGCATCTAATTACCGCCCGCCTCCACTTGTTAATAGCGTCATGAAAGTGAGCGATGTCAGAGGTAGCGCGATTCCCACTGAGCGCCGCACACTGACATGCCACTGCCCCATTAACATATCCTGCATGCATGCAGCCCCTAATGCACTGCCACGGCCGCTTGCTGCTGCTGCTGCTGCCAGCCGACACCCCCAATGCAAACCCAGCGCGTGCAAAGTATCGAGAACGCACGACGAACACAGCAGTACACACAGCGCGTGCAGCACTTACACAACACAGCAGCACACACAGCACGTGCAGCACTTACACAACACAGCAGTACACACAGCACGTGCAGCACTTACACAACACAGCAGCACACACAGCACGTGCAGCACTTACACAACACAGCAGTACACACAGTGCGTGCAGCACTTACACAACACAGCAGCACACACAGCGCGTGCAGCACTTACACAACACAGCAGCACACACAGCACGTGCAGCACTTACACAACACAGCAGTACACACAGCGCGTGCAGCACTTACACAACACAGCAGCACACACAGCACGTGCAGCACTTACACAACACAGCAGTACACACAGCACGTGCAGCACTTACACAACACAGCAGTACACACAGTGCGTGCAGCACTTACACAACACAGCAGCACACACAGCACGTGCAGCACTTACACAACACAGCAGTACACACAGCGCGTGCAGCACTTACACAACACAGCAGCACACACAGCACGTGCAGCACTTACACAACACAGCAGTACACACAGCGCGTGCAGCACTTACACAACACAGCAGCACACACAGCACGTGCAGCACTTACACAACACAGCAGTACACACAGCACGTGCAGCACTTACACAACACAGCAGTACACACAGTGCGTGCAGCACTTACACAACACAGCAGCACACACAGCACGTGCAGCACTTACACAACACAGCAGTACACACAGCGCGTGCAGCACTTACACAACACAGCAGTACACACAGCACGTGCAGCACTTACACAACACAGCAGCACACACAGCACGTGCAGCTCTTACACAACACAGCAGCACACACAGCACGTGCAGCACTTACACAACACAGAAGTACACACAGCGCGTGCAGCACTTACACAACACAGCAGTACACACAGCACGTGCAGCTCTTACACAACACAGCAGTACACACAGCGCGTGCAGCACTTACACAACACAGCAGTACACACAGCACGTGCAGCACTTACACAACACAGCAGCACACACAGCACGTGCAGCACTTACACAACACAGCAGCACACACAGCACGTGCAGCTCTTACACAACACAGCAGTACACACAGCGCGTGCAGCACTTACACAACACAGCAGCACACACAGCACGTGCAGCTCTTACACAACACAGCAGCACACACAGCACGTGCAGCTCTTACACAACACAGCAGCACACACAGCACGTGCAGCACTTACACAACACAGCAGTACACACAGCACGTGCAGCACTTACACAACACAGCAGTACACACAGCGCGTGCAGCACTTACACAACACAGCAGCACACACAGCACGTGCAGCACTTACACAACACAGCAGCACACACAGCGCGTGCAGCTCTTACACAATACAGCAGTACACACAGCACGTGCAGCACTTACACAACACAGCAGTACACACAGCGCGTGCAGCACTTACACAACACAGCAGCACACACAGCACGTGCAGCACTTACACAACACAGCAGCACACACAGCGCGTGCAGCTCTTACACAACACAGCAGCACACACAGCACGTGCAGCACGAACACAACACACACAACGCAGTTACACCATCATTAGTGGTCGAACTGATACTTGGATTTTACCTGGTACAGGTGTGCAGGTGAAATACAAACTGGGGGGCACAGGTTCTATCTCTGCTGGGGGGCACAGGTTCTATCTCTGCTGGGGGTCACAGCTTCCAGGCTGCATGCGGGTTCATGGTTAAGTGTGGAGCTGAGGGTCCTGGATGAGTGGGGGCTCCGGGCTGAGGGGGGGCTCCAGACTGAGGGGGGGGCTCCAGGATGAGGTAGGGGGGCTCTAGGCTAAGTGGGGAGGGGTCCAGGATGAGTGGGGGCTGCGGGCTCAGGGGGGGCTCCGGGCTGAGTGGGGAGGGGGGCTCCAGACTGAGGGGGGGCTCTGGGCTGAGGACCCCCGGGGGGTGTTCTCTGTGTTATGCAAATCGCCCCCCCCCCCCTCGCTCCCTCCTGCATTGTCACAACTAATGTACGACCCACTTCTTGTGATAAACTTATAATTAGCAATTTGTTTAAACTCTTCATTAAATTATGACCCAATGTGAGCTCCCTTACTCCGCATTAATCCTCTCGTGAATTCCCTACCAGGGAGTTGCAAACAAATATTTTAGCTGAGATGCCCGACGGAAAATCGCTCACTTTAGCAAATCATGGCAGCCTCCACCTCCAGCCCCGCTCGCAGAGCCACTTACTCGGTGGGAGCACGCGAACACAGAGCCCAGACACAGCACACGTTCAGTCGCAAGCAGGCAGCACACACAGTACACAGCACACACAGTACACAGCACACAGTACACAGCACACACAGTACACAGACATCACACATTACACAGACACAGAGTATACAGACATAACACACACACAGTACACAGACAGCACACGTTCAGTCGCAAGCAGGCAGCACACACGGTACACAGCACACACAGTACACAGCACACACAGCACACAGAGTACACACAGTACACAGACATGACACAGTACACAGACACAGCACTGAGACCTCGCAGAGGCACGGAGTTAGACACGTGGCTTAGACGACATTCAGACGCGGCACTCCGGTATCCCCGTCATCTCTGCCAGGTAACCCCAGAGGTTTCCGACTGACCCAGTTGTTATTTGGAAGTTGTTTCCTTCATCCGAAGACGTGGTACACTCAGCGTGCACGCGTACCCGTGTGAACACGGCGCGGACCCAAAAGCTGTAACAAGGGAATGAGTGGGGGGCGTTGGGGGGCAGGCAGTGGTTGGGGGTGAAATTAATCATAATTACTGTGACCGTGACAGGAGCTGCCGAACACGGCGAGGCGCTGCAGGGTGAGAGCCGAGTGGGAGCGAGCGAGGGAGCCGAGTGGGAGGGAGGAGGAGGAGACGACGTGGGGACCGTCTCCCAGCGGGGACCACCACCACCACCCAGCCCCCCCCCCCCCCGAGCAACCGGAAAACCCGAAGCAGAGTCGAGCGGAGCCTGCGAGCTATTCCACCGGCATTAAATAATGATGGGAATAAATGATGTCTGGTTACATTTTGCATGCAGGCAAATGTTGGGAAAACTCGAGTTTGAATAACAAAGTGAGTGCTGTGCACACGGAGTCGTGGGGCTGGCTGCTGAAGAGCCCAATCAGCAGAGTCCGACTCGCTCTTGCCGAGCCATGAACCACGGCGCAAAGTGGAGCGGTGAGCATGGTGCGGTGAGCATGGTGCGGTGAGTGCGGTGAGAGAGCGCTGCAACAAGGGAGCATGGGGAGTGTGGTGAAAGTGGGGAGAGTAATGAGACCCAACTATGTAAATGGAATGCAAATGGAGTGCGTTACATCCACGGCTTCGACGTGACTTCATCACTCGCTGCGCTCCCCACTCACGTATTCACTCACCACGCTGTCCACCCTCTCCTCACAAGGCTCCCCCCCACACTCCCGGCGTTCCCAGTTCACTCACTCATCAGGCTCCCCACTCAGCCCCCATGCACCCCACTTACTCGCTCGATCACCACTCACTCACCACGCTCCCCAACCATCAATGTTTTTGTTCTCGTGCCTGGAAAGCGCCGCTATAGTTATTGTGAGCATCGTTATTTATTTAATTTCCCCGCAGAATTTGTTTAGGGTTGAGGAGCGCGCGTGTGCACGTGCGCGCTGGGGAATGGGGCTCTCGCGCCGTGTTCGCTTTAATTAAGCGGCGCTTCTAATGACCCCATCCTCAATTAAGCCTCCGCAGCGCCCCCCGCGGTGCCGCGGCGATACTCAGCGAGTCGCGACTCGCACCGTCACTCAGACGCAGCGCGCGTCTGAGTGGCGCGAGACAGCAGGCCCAGTGCCAAACACTCACCACTCACTCACCACTCACTCACCATGCTCTACACTCACCACTCACTCACTCACTCATCCATCACTCACCACTCACTCACCACTCACTCACCACTCACTCAACCACTCACTCACCATGCTTTACACTCACCACTCACTCACCGTTCACTCACTCACCACTCACTCACCACTCACTCACCATGCTCTACACTCACCACTCACTCACTCACCCATCACTCACTCACCACTCACTCACTCAACCACTCACTCACCATGCTTTACACTCACCACTCACTCACCACTCACTCACCATGCTCTGCACTCACCAGTCACTCACCACACTCTCACTCGCTGATCATACTCCATACTCATCACGCTCCACACTCACTCACCACGCTCCACTCTCCATACACTTACTCCCGTTTATCCACACAGATGGCACGGAACGCGCACATACACACGTGAAGCAGACACTTAACAAAGACGCGCGCGCACACACACCGACACACCATACCATCTTCATGAGAAGATCGGCCGTGAAGTCTAACTGAGAAAGGTGGCACGCGCGCACACACACGCCTGGCACGGACAGGCACGTACGTACACGCGGAACACGCCACACACGAGGTGTTCGTGTGATACAGAGTCGGATTCAGGTTCTCGTAGGCCCAAGGCACTTCTGTTTCGTCGGCCTTCAGTGATCACTTTCTACATAAGAATCGTTTGTGGGTTAGATCGCGTTGTTTACACTGCTGCTGCCCATGCCGCTCCTACCACTGCCACTCGCTTGTTTCACGCGGCACTTCGTCCAGCCGCTGGACAGATGTTGTTACTGATACGTTCATTATTTAGTCGGTGCCCTAATTTGATGGGAGCGTGCTGTGTAACGCAGATAAGCAGATTTTATTTCAAATTATTGAGAGAAAAAAACAAGGTCAGCCTAAAACTATGACAAGCAAACATTTCTTCAACTATGTTTTACTATTATCATATCGGATGACGCAGCTTTAAAAGGATTCCGTTCATTTTCATCGACAATAAATTCAGTGTTCTGACAGGACGACTGCATGGCGAGTACCATATTGCTTTAGTTTTGTCTAAGCTTGAAAATTAGTTTGACTGCTATTTTAGGTGTAATATGCCTCCCCTGTGCTGCCCATCGTTAACATTTGGTTTCATCATCTGTTGCTGAGTGTTGTACTGAAGCAGTTGATCTATTTGGCATATTTCTCTATTTCACCACAAATATAGGCACAATTAAAGAAGAGTATGAAGGGAAATGCCTACGTCATTCAAAGTGAATGGGAGCAAGGTGGCCAACAGGGAGTGGTGCCGCTAGATCCCTGTGTGGGGATTAGTCTGAAAATTGGCCACCCTTAATAGACGTTTCTGAAAGTGACATAACACCGCCTGCAGCTGCCCATGAAACAAAGTCACTGGAAAATAAACTTTTGATACAGCATTCATGTGCACCACTTGGAATGAGGTTCTGAAAAAGACAAACATTGTAAACAAAGGTCGACAGGAGGCTGGGATTGACTTGTGCACCATTGTGAAGTTGCATGGTGCGGTTCTGCACTACTTTCGAGACACACAATGTGACAGGTAACAGGAATTGGAAATAATGGCCAGAAATCTCACAACATCTGGATATAAAGAGAGTCATGCACGAAAGAGGAAACAATTTGCTCATGAAAATTGCACTGATTTCAGTCTGGACAATCCAAGTGACAGATTCCATATCCAACGCTTCTATAACGTAATTCAGTTTTCTTGTAGATAGATCACTGTCCAAGAAAGAAAATGTTGTGCAGGCCTAAGCATTTGTTGTTGCATATCCAGCAGATCTTGAAAAATCATTCACTGATGAATTCCTGTTGTTCCTGCATTTGTATTTAGAGAAAAAAATTGTCACATATGCTCAAAGCTCAAATATCTGACAAGTGATCAGCAGCTTACCGAATGTTTACATTGCTCTGAGGATATATCTTGACATGGGTACGAATTGTGAAGGGGAGCGTTCTTTTTCGAAGCTAAAGCTGATTAATAAAATTGTCCCGGATCAACGAAAGGACAACGCCGCTTGTCTTTCCGTGCACTGCTCTCTATTGAGAACGAGATGATGCAAATACACAATTTCAAGATGCTATTGCTAAATTTGCACTGAAAAAATCTAGAAAAGTTCATCTCTGGTGTCAATTTTTCTCACTTTATGAAAAAGATCACGATTGACATAGTCTGCCTCTTTGTATATACACCGCGCCTATCCTGGATATACTCTTATTGACGCGCACCACGCCCGGCCTCCTTTGTGTCCCGAGTGGCAATGTTAACACATCGCACCAGGTCCTCTTCTTTAAGGCTGAGTCGACCTAGGGGAGGCCCAGGACCAGTTAAGATCATCGTCTCTGGCAGGTTCGCAGCGCAGCGCGCTAACCGCTACAGTACCGCAATTCGTGTGGCACAATCCCCTGGACACAAACCCCGTGCGCGTGTGTGTGTGAGTCCCTGGCCACTCGTGGCCACGACTCACACACACACACACCCCATGCGCGTGTGTGTGTGAGTCCCTGGCCACTCGTGGCCACGACTCACACACACACACACCCCATGCGCGTGTGTGTGTGAGTCCCTGGCCACTCGTGGCCACGACTCACACACACACACACACCCCATGCGCGTGTGTGTGTGAGTCCCTGGCCACTCGTGGCCACGACTCACACACACACACACCCCATGCGCGTGTGTGTGTGAGTCCCTGGCCACTCGTGGCCACGACTCACACACACACACACCCCATGCGCGTGTGTGTGTGAGTCCCTGGCCACTCGTGGCCACGACTCACACACACACACACCCCATGCGCGTGTGTGTGTGAGTCCCTGGCCACTCGTGGCCACGACTCACACACACACACACCCCATGCGCGTGTGTATGTGAGTCCCTGGCCACTCGTGGCCACGACTCACACACACACACACACCCCGTGCGCGTGTGTGTGTGAGTCCCTGGCCACTCGTGGCCACGACTCACACACACACACACACCCCATGCGCGTGTGTGTGTGAGTCCCTGGCCACTCGTGGCCACGACTCACACACACACACACCCTGTGCGCGTGTGTGTGTGAGTCCCTGGCCACTCGTGGCCACGACTCACACACACACACACCCCATGCGCGTGTGTGTGTGAGTCCCTGGCCACTCGTGGCCACGACTCACACACACACACCCCATGCGCGTGTGTGTGTGAGTCCCTGGCCACTCGTGGCCACGACTCACACACACACACACCCCGTGCGCGTGTGTGTGTGAGTCCCTGGCCACTCGTGGCCACGACTCGTGGACTACGCGGGCAGGGGCAGAACATGCTGCCAGCCATTTACCGAGTAAACGACCTGCCAACACCACTCCACACTGGTTCGGAATGTAAAAACACACCTTCCAAAGCATTCGTCAATGACACCGCTTCAGAATACATACAAGAGCATGCATGTGCTATAGAGAAGGGCCACTGCGCAAAACGCTGGCTATTATTTATCTTGAAGACCCCACACACACATGCAGGGTGTTGGTATAATCACGGGACGTTCTGAGTTGTTTGTGCACCACTGCCAATGTTGAACTTCTCTCGCACAGTACGTAACCAACCTTGCTAATTCGGCTGAGTGTGAACCTGATCGGCAGCTTGTTCAGAGGGCATCACGGCACCCGAGCAACAACTCACGCCATCGTTGCGCGCGCACGGAGCGAGCGCCTCACTCGCTGCTTTCCGCCATAAACCTCTCTTCCGCAGAACGTGCAGAGCGCTTCCACCCCACATGGCTCCAGCCAAACACGCCGCCGTTTTGTTTGCAATCCAATCGCATCCGTCTCTCGCCCGCCCTCTCCCTCCCTCTCTCTCTCCCGCGATCTCTCGCTCTCTCGCGCGCCGCTCTCCCGCGCTAACAAATGTCAGCGCGTAGCACGCACATGGGGCCCATCAGGACACCCGCACAAACTTGTACTTGTGTAATTGCGACCC